CCTGTCGCTCCATAAAGGTGTTCACTGGAGTGAGGCCCCCCAGCCCCCCGTTACGCAGGGATCCCTCCCCAGCTCGTTCCTGCCCCCGCTGTCCCCGCGGGGGAGCCTCCCCCCGTTACTGACAGGCCGCCGGGGGTGGGAGGAGGTTTGGGGGCCCCCCGCCCCCCGAAAGCCGCAGGCACCCGAGGAAAGGGAGGGGGCGCAGGTTCTGCTTTTCGTCGTTTATTTCACAGAAAAGTCTCCTCGCTGTACAGATTAAAAAAAAATCAAACGCTTTTAAGAAACGTGAAGAAAATTCTCTGCCCCCCCACCCCACCCCCAAATCTGCCCTTCGATTTAGGGTTTCTCAGCCGGCTCGCCCCCCCAAACCGTGGGGCCTGCAGCCCAGCCACTCCCGCTCCAAAACCGCTATGCTCTGGGCTCTGCTGACGGTGCCCCCAACTGCTGTTATGGGCTACAAAGAGCCCCCCCCAAAGAGTCCCTTTATTGGGGGGTCCAGGGAACCCCAACTCTGCCCCCTCCATGCATCCGAAGAGGTGCCCCAAATTTAACTGAAAGCGCATACGCTCCCCTAAATCAGAGTCTAATTTTGGGGGTGGCTCCTAAGAGGAGGGCAGATTATGCCCCAGAACTCAGGGGGCTGCTGCTAACATCCCCCCAAATATCGATAGCTGAACCCCCCTGGTGAGCCCAAAGAGGCGCTCCCCCACATTTTAATGGCAAGGGAAACTCAAATCACTTCCTCGCCCCCTCTTAGAGTAATTTGGGGGGGGGCTGGGAAGGGGGATATGGCATTTGGGGTGCTAGCAAGGACAGCTCCTAGCGCTGCTGCCAGTGAAAAGGGAGCAATCTACCCCCTAAAATTTGGGGGGCTGCCAAAGAGGGGGTGATCTAAACCCGAAATTTGGGGGGATTCACCCCCTGAAAATTGGGGGTGCTTCAAAGAGGAGCAATGCACCTCAGAAATGTAGGGGGGCACATGCCATACGGGTCTCCGCCGGAGAAGCAGCCTCTCGCCAGCTCCCTGCCCCCCGACTGAGAAATGCTAAATCAAGCCGGCTTTTTCCGCCTCCCACCCCAAAATCCCACCCCCCCTTTTTTTGTGTTTTCCTCTTGAACCATTTTTTGTCTAAATCAACCCAACTCCCCCCTCCCCCCCACTTGTCTCAAAACACAGAAGTTTTGTCGGGTTTTTTTATCGGTAAAACTCACAGAAGAGAAAAAACTGAAACGCTCACATGGGAAAAAACGAGATTCGAGTCACAACGGGGCGGGGCCCCGGCAGCCAAGGGGGCGGGACGTAGCCGCCGACCAATGAGGGAGGGGGAGGTGAAGGGAGGGAAGGAGCCAATGGAAACAGAGGAGGCTGCTGCCGGAGCCCCTGCTAGGGGGCGCTGCTGCTGGAGGCTGGGCGGAGCCCCACGGGCTACGGCGACCTTAAAAGAAGAGAAAGGGGGAGAGAGATTAAGGGGATACCGGGAGAGGTCTGCCCCCTGGTGGAGAAAGGGGGGAGCACAGACCCCAATGGCTCAGTCCCACGGGCCCATCTACCCCGGTATCCCGCCTCCTCCCTGCCCCTCCTGATCAGCCTCGTATGCCCATTTACCCCCGTCCGCCCCCAGAACAGCCCCACGGGCCCATGTATCCTGTCCTGTCCCGCACACCCCGCCCATCAGCCCCACGGGCCCATGTACCCCAGTACCCCACCCACTCTCAGTTCAGGCCCATGGGCCCTTCTACCCCGGTATCCTGCCCCCTCATGGGCCCATCTACCCCAGTATCTTGCCCCCTCATGGGCCCATCTACCCCGGTATCCTGCCCTCTCCCAGCCCCATGGGCCAATCTACCCCAGTATGCTGCCCTCTCCCAGCCCCCCGGGCCCATCTAGCCCTGTCTCAGCCCCCTCGTACCGGGACGCTCGGCGACGGGCAGCGTGGGGGGGGCTGGGCGTTTCCCGCCTGCGCTTGCGAGCCGGGGAGCGGCTGTTGGTTCCTCGACTCCTCTGGGAGGGTTTGTCACTGAGGGGGGGCGCCGGGTAAGGGGAGGGTCAGTGGGGCCCCCAGATCTGACCCACAGGCCCCCCCAAGACCTCCCCTCCCAGGCACCCGATTCCCCCCTCCCCTGCTCCTCAGCCCCCCCACCCCTCGCCCTTCCCTCCTAGCGTTCCCCCCCTCCCAAGCTGGTCCCTGGGGGGCTCCGGCAGACACCTACCTGTGCCGGTCCCGCTGGGCCGGAGGGGGTTCCGGGGGGGAGGGCCGGCGCCGCTCGGCCGGGGAATAGCTGAGAGAGCGAGAGTCGCGCAGGGAGTCGATCGGCTTCCGGGGACTCCGGGAGCTGTGGGGGGAGGGGGGGACAGCAGGTGAGACACCCTCAGACAGACCCAGGTGTCCAGCCTGGCAATGCCCAACCCCTAGAACAGGGACCCAGCACCTGCCCGCGCCCCCCCACCCCCCCAACTCAGGTCTGCGCTAGCCCGCCCCCACCAGGAGAACGGGGACCCAGGCGTCCGGGCCAACGCTCCACACTTACCGCCTCTGCTCGGGCGAGGGCTTCTTGGGGGCTGCCTTGGGCTGCGGCTGGGGCCCCGGCTTGGGGGAGGAGGAGGACGAGGAGGAGGAGGAGGAAGAGGACGAGGAAGAGGAGGACGAGGACGAGGAGGAAGACGAGGACGAAGACGAGGAGGAGGACGACGATGAGCTGCTGCTGGAGCTGCTGGAGCTTCGGGAACGGCGTTTCCGCTTGGCCACCTCCAGGGGACGCCCCTCGCGGGCCGGCTCTTTCTGCACCGGGCTCGGGGGCCTGCGGACAGGGGGAGCATGAGAAACTGGGGCAGGGGGCGCCGCGCGCAGGGGGGGCGCCAGGCTGGGACAGAAGGAATGGGGGGAGGGAGCTGGGTGGGGGGCGCCGAGCTGCGGGGGACTCACTCTTTCTTCGCCGTCTCCAGGTCGGGCCCCTTGCTCGCTGGGGAGTCGTGGCTGGACTCTGAGGAGCTGGAGCTGGAGTCAGAGGAGGACGACGAGGACGAGGAGGAGGAAGAGGAGGAGGACGAGGATGACGAGGAGGTGGACGAGCTCCTCTTCTCTTTGGACGGGGTGCGGGGGGGCACCGGCAGCGGCACCAGCGGCTTGGGGACTCCGCTCCGGGCTTTGTCTAGCAGCTCCCGGGGCACCTCCGGGGCTGGCGGCTCCGACTTGACCTTGGGGCCTTCCCTGTCTTCCTCCTTGGGGGGCAGCACCGGGAGTGGGGCGGGCAGGGGGCTGGGCACCTTGTGGGAGGCAGAGGAGGAGGAGGAAGAGGAAGAGGAGGAAGATCTGACTTTCTCTGGCCCTTTGGCTAGGGGGAGGCGGCCGGCAGGCGGGGAGCCCCCAGGGGCCGCAGGGCAGGAGTTCAGGGTCCAGGCGGGCGCCGGACCCCCGTTCCTCACCGCCCCCAGGGACCCCTCCGGCCGCGGGGAGTGAATCTTGGGGGCAGGGGAATGGGCTTTCCTGGTTTTGGGGGAGGCCTCGTCTGGCGCCGGCGGGGAGCGGGACGGGCTGCGCCGGATGGGCACCGCCACCACGGGTGACGTCTTTTCAGCTCTTCCTGGTGCTGCCTTGTCGGCCGCTCCCACTTTGGGGTATTTCTCCAGCACCGGCGGCGAGCGGGACCTCCTCCCGGTTCGTTTCGGCGAGCCCGAGCCTGATCGGGTCCTGGCCGGCGACGCTTTTGAGCGGCCACGATAGGAAGAGGCCGGGGTGCGGGAGACATCCAGTTTCGGTGGGGAGCGGGAGCGGGGCTGGCGGGAGCCGCGGCGCCGGGGGGAGGACCCCGCTCGGCCTCGGCGGGGTGGCGTGCGGGATCTGCTACGGCGAGGCGAGGACGGCGAGCGCTCCCGGCGGCGGGAGAATCGCGAGGTGGATCTCGAGCGGCTCCTGCCGGGCGACGAGATGGATCTGTCCCTCCGCAGGGAGCCTCTGGATTTGCCTCGTCTGGAGATGGACCGGGACCGGGTTCTCCTGGGCGACGACCCAGATCTTCCTCGCCGCAGGGAAGATCTCCACTTCCCCCTTCTGGAGGGAGAGCTGGACCGGCCACGCCTCGTCGGGCCCTTGGGTCTCTCTGGAGACGACCCAGAGCGGCTGCTTCTGGGAGATGCCCCCAGCTTCTCTCGAGGTCTTGGGGATGAGCCAGACCTGCCACGCCTTGGAGTGGATCTGGATTTCTCTTGAAGTCTTAGAGACGAGCCGGATATGCCGTACCTTGCGGGAGATCTGGATTTCTCTCTAGATCTCAGAAAAGAGCCGGAACTGCCATACCTAGCAGGAGATCGGGATTTCTCTCGCGGCCTGGGAGATGAGCCAGACCTGCTGCGTCTTGGGGGCGATCGGGATTTCTCTCGCGGCCTGGGGGGCGATCGGGATTTCTCTCGCGGCCTCGGGGGCGATCGGGATTTCTCTCGCGGCCTCGGGGGCGATCGGGATTTCTCTCGCGGCCTGGGAGGCGATCGGGATTTCTCTCGCGGCCTGGGAGGCGATCGGGATTTCTCTCGCGGCCTGGGAGGCGATCGGGATTTCTCTCGCGGCCTGGGAGGCGATCGGGATATTTCTGCCCGTTCTGGAGAAGACTCCGAGCTGCTCGGAGGTGTTCTGGATTTCTCTCTGATGCCAGGGGATGACCCCAATCTGCTCCTTCTTGGGGACGTTCCATATTTGTCTTTTGCCTCAGGAGACATCGGCTTGACCTGACCTGCTAAAATCCTCACTAGCTCTGTAGCTTCTGGAGAAACCACGGGCCTGTTGTGTTTTGAAACTGCTCCAAGTTTGCTTCCTGACCCTGGAGAGGATCCGGATCGGCTGTGTCTTGGGGGCGAATTGGATTTCCCTTTCAGTGTCAACAATGATCCAGATCCGCTCAGCGAGGGAGGCGATCTGGATTTTGCTTGCTCTACAGAGGCCCCTCTCATGGGTGGTGATGGGGATTTCTTTTTCACTTCTGGAGAGGATCCGGATCGGCTTTGCCATGGCTGGGGAGATTTGGATTTTTCTTTCACCACTGGAGAGGCACCAGGCTTAACACATCTTTGAGGTGATCTAGATTTCTTTTTTGGTTCTGGAGGGGATCCTGATTGGCTTTGTCTTGGGAGTGGGGAGCTTGATTTATCATTTAGTTCTGGAGAGGATCCAGACCTGCCTCTCGCAGGTGGCGATCTGGATTTCTTCATCAGTTCTGGAGAGGATCCAGACTGGCTGCATCTTAGAGGCAAACTAGATTTTTCTTCCACCACTGGAGAAGACCCAGCACCACTGTGTCTTGGAGAGGTCTTAGACAGCTTCTTCAGTTCTGGAGAGGATCCAGATCTGCTTCTCCCTGGAGGAGATCTGGATTTCCCTTCCACGGCTGGTGAAGATCCAAGCCCACTTTGCCTTGGAGGAGAACTGGATTTCTTCTTCAACCCAGGAGAGGAGCCAGACCTGCCTCTCGCAGGAGGTGACATGGATTTCTCTCTCTGTTCTGGAGAGGATCCAGATCTGCTTCGTCTCAGGGGCGATCTCGATTTCTCTCGCACCGCTGGAGATGATCCAGATCTGCTTCGTCTCAGGGGCGATCTCGATTTCTCTCGCACCGCTGGAGATGATCCAGATCTGCTTCGTCTCGGGGGCGATCTAGATTTCTCTCGCACCGCTGGAGATGATCCAGATCTGCTTCGTCTCGGGGGCGATCTAGATTTCTCTCGCACCGCTGGAGACGACCCAGATCGGCCTCTCACAGGCGGTGATCTGGATTTCTTCTTCACCACTGAAGAGGACCCAGACCTGCTTCGTCTCAGGGGCGATCTAGATTTCTTCTTCAACACTGGCGAGGACCTAGACCTGCTTCGTCTCGGCGGCGATCTAGATTTCTTCTTCAACACTGGCGAGGACCTAGACCTACTTCGTCTCGGTGGTGATCTGGATTTCTTTCTCGTCAGTGGAGAAGATCCAGACCTCCTTCGTCTTGGGGGCGATCTGGATTTCTTTTTCACTTCTGGAGAAGATCCGGACCGGCTTCTTCTAGGCGGTGATCTGGATTTCTTTTTGAGTGCTGGAGACAATCCAGACCGCCTTCTCCTCCTTCTGGATGGCGTTCGGGATTTCTTCTTCGGCGCTGGAGATGACCCTGACCGGCTCCTCCGAGGGGATGATCTGGATTTCTTTTTTGGCCGAGGGGATGAGCCAGAGCGGCTCCTCCGGGCCGATGACCTGGATTTCTTCTGTAGTCGAGGGGACGATGTGGAGCGGCTGCGTCTTGACACTTTCCTGGATTTCTGCTTCACGTCTGGCGACGAGTCCGACCGGCTCCTCCGCAGGGGCAGCCTGGATTTCTTCCTCCGCTCGGCTGACGACCCAGAGCGGCTCCTCCTGGCTGAAGTCAGTGATTTCTCCCGCCTGGGAGAGGACCCTGACCTGCCTCGCCTGGGCGGGGTTCTAGACCGGGACCTGCCTCGCCTGGGCGGGGTCCTAGACCGGGACCTGCCCCGCCTGGGCGGGGTTCTAGACCGGGACCTGCCCCGCCTGGGCGGGGTTCTAGACCGGGACCTGCCTCGACGGGGCGGGGTTCTAGACCGGGACCTGCCTCGACGGGGCGGGGTTCTAGACCGGGACCTGCCTCGACGGGGCGGGGTTCTAGACCGACCCCGCCTTGCTGTATTCCGGCTCCTAGACCAGCCAGGCCTCTGGGGCGTCCTGGAGCGGGACCACCCTCGCCGTTGAGGGCTGCGAGATCTCCCCCTCCTCTGGGGCGTACGGGATTTGCCCCACCTGGGCGGAGTGCGGGAACGGGACCGTCCCCACCTCTGGGGGCTCCGGGACCTGCCTCTCCACTGGGGGCTCCGGGATCGGGACCGGCCCCGTCTCGGTGGCGTGCGGGAACGGGCCCCCCGGCGGGGCGGGGTGCGGGAACGGCCTCCCCGGCGGGGCGGGGTGCGGGAGCGCTCCCTGCGGGAAGGGGGTGTCCGGGAGCGTGACTTGGCATCTCTCTTTGAGAGGGAGCGGGTTTTGGCGCTCTTCGCCGGGGTGCCGGATCGCTCACGCCGGGACGAGGGCTTCGGGGCAGCCTTAGCAGGCTGGGAGGGCTCCGGGGAAGAACTGGAGCGGTCCCGGCGCTGGGAGCCCCTCGATTTCTCCTGCCTGCTCAGGGCCGGCTTCTCCCGCTCAGGAGAAGAGGAGGACGAGTCTTCGTCGCTCTCAGAACCTGAGCGGGACGGCCGGGGGGAGGGGGCCTTCCGGGTGGTGGCCGGTGCCGAGGGGGCAGCCGCTAGGGACGGGCTCTTGGGGCGATCAGAAACCGGCTTTTTGGGGGGCGGGGAGGAGGAACGGGGGGACTTGGTCTCCTTGGAGGGTGGGTGCTTGTGGCCGGACGAGGCCCTCTCCCGGGCCGGCTCGGGGGACGGGGAGCGGCGTTGAGGACGGGGCTCACGCTCCGAGGTCGGGGCAGGGGTGGATTTGCGCTCTGGCTGCCGGGGGCGATCCTTGTCCTTCTGCTTCCCCTCGGAGACAGGCGATGGGGAGGAGGAACGCTGGCGGGGGGAGCGCCGAGACGACGGCTTCTGGGGGGGGAGGGGGAGAGAGCTGCTACTGCATGACTTCAACCCACAGCCCCAGCCCCCCTGCTCTGACCCACTAGCCCCCATTCCCCTCCCAGAGCCGGGATAGTACCCAGGAGTCCTGGCTCCCAGCACTCCTCCCCCGCTCTAACCACCAGACCCCACTCCCCTCCCAGAGCCAGGATAGAACCCAGGAGTCCTGGCTCCCAGCACCACCCCCCCGCCCCCCGCTCTAACCACCAGACCCCACTCCCCTCCCAGAGCCGGGATAGAACCCAGGAGTCCTGGCTCCCAGCACCACCCCCCCGCCCCCCGCTCTAACCACCAGACCCCACTCCCCTCCCAGAGCCGGGATAGAACCCAGGAGTCCTGGCTCCCAGCACCACCCCCCCGCCCCCCGCTCTA